TGTGTGTGTGTCTGTGTCTCTGAGTTTGCGTGTTTGTGTGCATGTGTGTGGCTGTGTGTGTGCCTATGTGTATGTGTGTGTGTGTCTGTGTTGGGGAGTGAACATACCACAGCATACATGTGGAGGTTAGGGAACAATTTTTTTTAGATTTATTTATTTTATTTATATGAATACATTGTAGCTGTCTTCAGATACACCAGGAGAGGGCATCAGATCCCATTACAGATGGTTGTGACCTATCATGTGGTTGCTGAGAATTGAACTCAGGACCTTTGGAAGGGCAGTCAGTGCTCTTAACCGCTGAGCCATCTCTCCAGCCCTAGAGGACAATTTGTTGAAGTCATTTCTCTCTATTCACCTTGTGTTTCCCAGGAACTGAACTCCTGTCTACCACAGGCCTGATGGCCTTTTGTGGCTGGGCCATCTTGAGGGGTTCTTAGTCTCTCTGTTTTTTTCACTCTGTACCACTTGAATCTTTTAAAAAGAGAATGATTAAACTGTGTAATCATAAGGGGGAAAAAGTAGATTAGGAACAAAATATACCAAGATGTTCACAATAGCTGTCTTTAGATAATAAAATTACATGTAATTTTTTTCTTTTATAAGTAATATTTTTGTCATGGAACAGCCCACAAGCTCTTTTTTCCACTAAAGCTTCTTTTAAAAAAAAAACACACACATACTTTAAAATATTCCATTAGCCTTTTAAAGAATTTTCAATTATCCTCATTACTTTAAAAAAAAATGATAGCAACCAATGTAGGCCCTTATAAAATGTCAAGCAGCACAGGAAAATGTGAGGAAAACGTTTCCAGTAATTCTGTCTCCTTCTATGAGACTCCCACCACTCTCAAACTTTAAAAATACTGTAAATTTACATCAAGAACACAAAAAGCAATTTCATATCACCAGAGGGTTTGAGAGTTTCAATATATGCCCTCTGTGCCATGCACAATCCAAAATGCTTTCAGTTGATCAAGACATCAAATGCTATGCCCCAAGTAACCAAGAAGTCAGGCTTCTGGGGGTTCACAATTTGCCCAAGGCTGACATCCAAATCCAAGATGGAGAGCCTAAACTAAACCAGTACCTCAGGCCACTACCATCACGGTGGGTGGTGTTGGTGCCAGCCCTTCAGTGGAATGGATGTCTAAGAAGGGATTTTTGAGTGATAAAGGACACCATAACTGGGACAGGGAAAAATGTGTCTTTGGGTGTAATAGGCAGGAGAATACTGGGGCATGTGGGGGGGGGGGAGTAGAGGAGGAAGCTGGGGAGAGATATTAGCCAGTCATAGAACTCTAAAGGGTTAAAAGCCAGGCAGGAAAACTCCTGGAGGGAAGCCACTTCCAAAGGGAGCCAGCCACTGGAGCCCTTCACCTCCCCCACTGCTGAAGACTAGACAGGCAGTTGCATCCTTTTGGGATTATTTAAAGCCCCTAGGTGCACCGCAGGGAGGGATTAAAGCCCTTGGTACAGTACAGCCCCTCCTTCCTGTGGGCCCAGAGTTGAGGTGTGCTGGGATACTCCCAACCCCCAGCTCCTGCTAGAGGCAGTTTAGGCCCAGGCAAGCTTTGGGAAGAAGAGATGTTGAGCTCCAAACCTGAGAGATGAGCAAAGAACATGGGAGACATGGGAGAAGACTTTGTAAAGAACAGACCTGCACCAAGATGGGGGCAGGGAGCTGTTTCCACTGCCTGACTGTTCTAGTCTTGTAGGGCCTACTCAGGCAAGCGGGCTCAGGCAGAGATGCATTTTAGGGGTTCGGAAAACACCGAAGTCTTAACTCTACTCAATCAACCCATGACTCCTTTGGGGCGACATCAAACTGTCACCCCCAACCCTCAAGCCAGACTACAAACTTTTCCCTTCCCTCTATCTAGCCAAAACCTCCCCCCCCACCACCACCACCAGACTCTTAGGAAATCTTTCAATTTTCTTTTAAGTTTTCCCGTGGCCCGCAAGGGGTCTGTTTCAGAACTAGGTCAGGGCACTTTAACAGGCCCAGCGGGGGACACTGGATAAGACAATAGCTGCTATCACTTTACCATTGGAAGTGACCCCCGAATTTGCACTTCTTTCATCTTGGGACCAGAGCCCTGGAGGTAGGCGATTTCCTGGGGGGGGGAGTGGCTTAAACCACTTCCCCACCAGCCAGTTGGCTGTAGACCATTCATGCTCAATGGTTCACTACAGATATGAGACTGGCGTGACCGTGAGAGCTCAGCAAGGGACGCTCTCCGGGAAGACCTCTCCCGGTAGGGGGCCTTAAATGACCCAAGCTGGAAGGTGGAGAGAAGAGTGGATGCCCCCCAGGGCTTTGGACCACCCTCGAGGTCAGTAAAGTAGAATATTTTCTCAAAACTAGAAGGGGTCCTTGCTTCCTTCAGCTTGATGCCCTAGGCACCTAGGGGTTGGCTTCAGGATACTAAGGGATTAGTTAGGTCCAAGGGCCACCGGTGAAGATCCTACGGAAGTGTGTGGACAGGGACGCCAGGCATTGTTTTAAATTCTCCCTACCCCCACACCTCTAGCCCTTTCCCTACCCCCACCGACTAGCCTATTTTTCCTCTTCACCCGGCAAGCGCAATGGTATGGCCTCAAGCTCCTCCCTAGCCCGCAAGAGCTCAGGTTAGGTCCCTGGCTTCTGAAGCTCCAGGTGGGCCAGCTCTCTATCTACCACCCACTGGCACCTGGCACCCCCAAGGGTGACTGGTGGCCCTCACTCTTTTCCCTCCCTTCCAGACACAGGGTCCAGTCAAGCGACTGAACTTGGGATAACCCCAGAGGCTCTTAGCTTGGTGGCCTCAGGTGCACCCGTTAGCGCTCCCTTGGTTGTAGGACTTTTGTTGGGAAGTTAACATCTAAAGACCTACCAGTGAGGCCCTACAGTATTCTCCTATGCCTAGTTTGATCGCTAGGACACAGGGGAGATAACCAAGATGGCTGGCAGTCCCTTGGTCACGCAGCCAAGCCAGTGTGCCCTGGTAATTGGAGCTAGGCTGGCTGAAGAGTTAGCTTAGCTGGCTGTCTAGGTTGGTCGTTATAGGTATCAAAATCTACTCTTATTGAGCCTTAACCGTGTGGCCCACATAATAGTGGGTTCAGTAGATTGCAGAGACTGCAGTGTGCTTTGAGAGGGACAGGGAGTGTGGGGGAGGTCTCCAGAGAGCACTGGATTCCAGTCCGGTTCCTTGGAGCCCAGGGTACAATTGGTAGGGAATGAATTTGTTCTACAGGCAGTCCCTCCAGCCTTTCCCTTCCGGGTCCTTTACAGAGTCCTGATTGACCTCTCCTAAAATACGGGGGATGGCGTGGGGGGTGGGGGGGAAGGGCTGGAAGCTGGAACCCGGTTCTGTAGCTCCATCTGCCAATGGGGAGCGGAGGCGACAGGGAAAGTAGTCCTAGTAAAGGTGAGAATAGAGTGCATTTCCCATCCACTTAACCTGCGAGACTCCGGAGTCCTTTCCAGGCGCTAACACGTTTAGAAACTGATACCTTGGCTTTGCTCCCTCCCGTCCAACTTGACGCTTGTATCGCGGGTGGGGGGTGGGAGGTGGGGGGTGGGAGGTGGGGTGCGCACCCCAGTGGCTTCGTACTTTTTCAGCCCCTTTCCAGCCGCTGTTGGGGGGTGCGGGGGGTTCAGGGAGGCCAGCCATAGACTGGATTCATTCGGTGCACCTGGTAGTAGTCACGCTGGCCCTGCGTACATTTCAGGAAGGGGCACCTTTACCAAAGCGCCGCAGCTGAACGCCATCACCGATTATCTACTTAAGGGCGTCCTCCTGCAGCCGCCTGCCCTTTCCACACTGGCTGTCTTCGTGTGGTCCAGCCCTGTTTTGTTTGGCTGAGAGATAGGGCGATTTTAGGCTCTCCTTTGAAAGCTACTTTTTAATTTTATTTTAGAAACAGCCTCTTCCTATGTAACGTAGGCTGGACTTGAACTCAAGAGCCCTCGCAAGTGCTGGGACTGCAGGCTGCTCTCAGTAAGCGTTTGAGGAGGCCAGAAGTGGGGCATTACCTACTAACATCTCTTCGGGGGGAAAGAAAGGAGGAAAGAGTTAGGGTGGAGTCGGATGTAACTAGGCCAGGGACCCTGAGGTAGGGTAGGCCCTGGTAGGGTGGGGAGGGGTAAGGTCTGTGCACAGGAAGTGTGTTGCATCTGGACGCTGTGTTGGACACTACTGGAGGAATTCAGGCAAGTCAGCTTTACTCTTTCTACCTTGGTTTCTACAAAGTGACTAGGTGTATCTCAAAATGTCAGATTCTCTGGATGATTTAAACAAATGCTTTGGAGAACGGCAGAGGTTAGGAGAGCCCTGGGGTCAGACTGTTAAGGTTTTGCAGCTTTTAATAGCTGTTCTTTCCTAACTCCTGCTGGCTTCCTTCTCCAGGTGTGTGCTAGGAATACTGATGCCTGTGATGGGGGGGGAGGGTAGGTGTGATAAGAGTTGTGGTTTTGTGGAGGGAAGGTGAGACCCACAGAGTAATAAACTTACCCCTGAAAAAGAACTTGGAATCAAACGTTCACCCCCACAGAAGCCCATTTGTGATCACCCGGGGGAACATCACGCTCCACTTCTGAGCAGGCACAAGGAGTGGAAGCAGGAAGCATCACCTACACGGTTTAAATTGCTCTTTCTGGGACTTTGGTTGAATTACCTAAGTTAAATGGGTTAGTGCAGAGTCAGTAAGTGGCAGCTATTTTCCTAATTTTGTTGGCAAAGTATCTCAAAGCGCTCATTTGCATGCAGGTGTATAACACCACTTAAGTGACATCATGTAAGAAAAACCAGAAAGAACATTATCCCTTTTCTTGGGATATTTCTGACAGCGAAAAATTTTTTGTCTTTAGAATTTGGTTCTGGGGCTCAGTTTTGTTTTGTTTTGTTTTTGAGTCAGGGTTTCTCAGTGTAGCCCAGGCTGGCCTGGAATTCAGAAATTCCCCTGCCTCTAGGATTAAAGTGCCACCACCACCACCGGGCTGTCTTTTTTTCTTCATGTGTACAGCCTTGAAGACGTTTAGAGCTTAGAATGTTAACCAAGGATGACTCTGATTATCACTGCTTGAAAGGCTCTCCGTTCTTTCCAGCAGTTCTTCAATGCCTTAACATTCTTTTCTCCTCACCGTTGCCCAATCACAATTCACATTCCAGTGTGTTTAAGTACGCAGTTTGATAAACCGAACCATGTATAATACAAACACATTTTTAAAACAGGGGCTAATTAAAGCAACGCGTTAAGCTCCGAGAACCAGATCTGAGAAGCCAGGAAAGAAAATATTCTCTTCCCTAATTTAAAAGCTCTTCCAAAGGAATGCCTCTGCATGGCAGTTACTGAAGTTAGGAAGATTGACCTGTGATGGAGGGGAGGCTGGCTGGCTAGCTCATTATTTGTGGTACCTTGGATAAATTAGGCTGCTGCCAAATGCCTCAGTTTCTCCACCTGTGAATTGGGGCAATATTGATATTGCCCAGCTTTTTTTCTTTCATTTTGAGATGGGGTCTGAAGTATCCTAGACCAACTTCATATACCTTGATATTGATTCTCCTGTCTCCACTTCCCATGTGCTGAATTATAGGTGAATGTTGAGGTTCTTGTTCTGGAATTGCAGGCACTCCCCACCACACATGTTTATGTGGTGGTAGAAATGGAATTCAGGGCTTCTTGCATGCATGCTAGGCAAGTTCTCTACTAGCTGGACTCCATTCCCTGCAGTCCCTTACAGTCCCTTTTAAAATCAGAGACTCGTTAATTATTTATTTTATATGTGTGTTTTACCTAAACGTATACCTGCACCGCATACATGGTCTGGTGCCCCGTGGAAGTCAGAAGAGGGGGTTGGATTTCTCGGAAACTGGAGTTAGAGGTTATGTGCGCCATGTGGGTACTAGAACTTGCACCTGGGTCATCGGTGAGAACAAGTGTTCTTAACCACTGAGTCCAGGACTCATTTTTAAAAAAATGTTGTATTTATCTATTTTGTATGTAGTGGGCATACATGTCATAGCACATAGGTGGTGGTCAGACGCCAGTTCCCAGAGTCTGTTTTCTCCTTCTGTCATGTGGGTTCTGAGAATTGAACTCAGATCATCAGGCTTAGCAGCAAGTACTTTTACTCTCTTTGTGTGTGTGTGTGTGTGTGTGTTGGCCAGGGTTTGCTGCTGGGTGTCTTTCCTGCACCACTCTGTATCTTCCTTTGTGAAGTAAGTTCTCTCACTGAACCTGGAGCTCAGTGGTTTAGCCAGATTGACTAGCCAGCAAGCCTCAGGGTTCCTCCTGACTCTGTGCAGGTGTGTGCTTCCTCTGGCTCTTAACTCCTGAGGATTTGAGCTCAGGCCCTCCTGGTTTCCGGGTCAGCACTGTGCCAACTGAGCGTTCTCCTCAGCTGTTTCCTTTTCCACTCAACTGACTGATTGAATGGAAGGTTTCTTGCATGCTGTGTTTTACCACTGAGTTATATCCCCAGTAGCTCAAACCCTATAGTCCTGCTGTAAGGGTCAGAATACAAGAAGGCTCCATTCAACAGTTCTCTGCACCAGACGGTCTGTCTTCCTTGCTGCCTCTGTGAAAGACGGTCTTTTTTATACAGTGTCAACTTTTGTTTAGTTTCAAGATCTCCATTCGCTCTTTATTTGTTTGAGTCAGGGTTTCTCTGTGTAGCCCTGGCTCTCCTGAAACTCACTCTGTAGATCATAGGCCTCAGACTCACAGAGATTCACCTGCCTCTGCCTCCCGAGTGCTGCACCATTACCTCTCAGCTCTGTTAGTTCTTTACATGTGAGAAGCTGGAAAGTTTGTTGTTTATATAGGTGACATCTCAATGTATACTGTATTCAAAATTAAAGCAAGAGACTGGGGATACTGGTCTTGCATGTTCAAGGTCCTGGGTTTAACTTCTAATGCTGAAGAAAAAAAAAAAGTAAAAATGAAATAAATAGTAACAGATAGGAAAAGATAGTCACTAATAGGAAAAAAGTAGCTACCAAGGCTGGAGATAGAGCTCAGTGGTGGGGGTTTTACCAATAGCATGGTCAAGGCCTAACTCCCAGCTCTCTGTGGAGGCTGAGGCAGGAGGATTGGGGGACCCTAATTAAAGGAAAGTAAAACAAGAAACTGCACCATGAAAATTTTGTATCTTGCTGTACCAAGTCAAATGCTATGGTCATACTTTGTATATTTTACAGAAGTTTGTAAGGCTATCCCTCAGTTATGTGATAATATAGATTCTTGTTTGTAATATAACTAATAGAAATGTTGACAATATGATTATACAGTATAAAACCACTTAGGTACTGGGAAGTTGTCAAGGATATGTCAGTAGTGGTAGATGTTCTCAAAACAAAAATAGAGAGAGCTTCTAAAAGGATCTCGGCCTGGCTGGTCTTAAACTCACTACATAGCCCAGGTTGGCCTTGAACTCTTGTCTTCCAAGTGCTGAAATTACAGGTGTGTGCCACTCGTGCCTGGCTTTATTATCTTTTGAGATAAGAGTCTTAATTGTGTCCCCCATGCTATTTCTGGATTACAGGTGAAAAAAATCAAACTTTTATGTTATAGTAATATACTTAACTTTGAAGAGATAGGCTCACCTGAATCTTTTTTTATTAAAAAATTAAAATATTTGTTTTATGTGTATGAGTGTTTTGCCAGCACGTGCATATAAATCATGTACACGGCTAGTGTCCAAGGAAGCCAGAAGAAGGTGTTGGATCTCCTGATGCAGGAGTTACAGATGCTTGTGTGGGTACTGGGAACAGAACTCAGGTCCTGTGCAAGAGCAGCCATGGTTAGCCACTGAGCCATCTCTCCGGCTAATCTCCCTCAGATATGCCTGAGTCTGTATAACCCACTTCTGTCTCAGTAATGGATATGTTGTTTTTGTTTTGTCTTGAGTCAAGTTCTCCTGTGGCCCACGATGGTCTTGAAACTAGCCTGACAGCCCTGGCTGACCTCGAACTCTGAACCTGATCCTTCAGTCTCAGCTTCACAGAGCTGGGAGTACAGATGTGTGTCACCATGACTTACTGTGACATCCATCAGTCAGTCATTCTCTAAAAATAGTATTCCTGACAGCTAGCTTGAGAAGTTAACCCCTTCTAGACCAGGTCCCTTTCCTAAGCCTTTCTCTTAAGATCTGTCCTTAGATCTACAATAAGATTCTTTCTTAATAAACTCCCTACTGTGCTTTAAAAAATAAAAAGTGGCTCTGCCAGATGTGGTGCTCACTGGGAAGCTCTGAGAGGCAGGGGCAAGAGATAGATTTGAATTTGAGGCAAGCCTGGTCTACATAAAACTGTTCCATGCTAAAAGCAGCTAATTCCATCATACATTTCTAAACAATAATAGTGGAAAGGAGATCTTCAGCCTGCTCAGGGTGAGGAAAGGCCCGCCTCTAACTCCAGAGACATGTGGGTGCCCTTAAGGACTTCTATTTAATAAAATGTGTTCTGAAGGGCATTCTTCAAGGACGTCAGGGGGAAGAACATGACTTCATAATTAGATGTTGTTGCCTTTATTCTTGATAGGAAAGATAAGTTCAACCCAAGCCAAGGTTGACTTGAGATTCATGTTGTAGTCTGTGCTGACCTCAATCTCATGGTAAGTGTCTGCCTTTGTCTCCAGAGTGCTGGGATGATAGGTGTGAACTATATATCACTCTGCACCATAATATAACATAGTTTTATTCAAAAGATAAGAAGACAAATTATATCAATGTGTTAAATTATCATGCTATGTCTAAGCACTATTCTCAAAAGAATTTACGAGGCACCTAGGACTATAGCTTGGAAATCATTGTTCTAGGTTTTGGTCCATATGTGATCATAAATCTTCGACCGAGTTATATGACTATTTTTTTTGAGGCAGGGTCTCACTGTGGAACCCTGGCTGGCCTGGAACTCGAAGAGAGCTGGTTACCTTTGCCTCCCAGGTGAACACTAGGACTAAAGGTATGCACACCATGCCCTGTAGAGGTGTAGCTTATGTCCTACTGTATACTATGTATTGTTGTAGATACTGCTGCACAGTAACTAGCATTTGATTCTGCTTTACTATGTGTCAGGAAGGGACAGGAGACAAAAATAAGTGTATGTGTCTGTCTCTTCCTCTGTATCTTCATCCACTGTTGTTTTGTTTTGTTTTTAGATAGAATCTGGCTAGGTAGCCCAGGCTGGCTTTGAACTCGTGATCCTCCTGCCTTCACCCTCCCAGTGCTGGGATTGTCTGTGGGCTTTTTCTTTGCTTTGTTTACTTTCATTATATCAGTTAAGCCCACAAGGGCCCTTAACGGTAGGCACTCTCTCCCATTCCACAGGAGAGAAAGCAGAAGCCAGGAGGTTAAGTGTTTTACCAAAGCTGATTTCCAGAGACCAGGCTTTCCTTCAGAACCACTGAGTGACTAAGCAAAGCCATGGTAGCAGTTAGCTGTTATTTCTTCTGGGGACATTACCGTTCCCCACCCCCATGGCCCTCAACTTCCCTAATGTGGCGACCCTTTAGTACAGTTCCTCATGTTCTGGTGACCCCCAACCAGGAAATGATTTGCTACTTCATAACTGTAATTTTGCTACTGTTATGAATCGTAATTAAGTATCTGAAATCCTGGACATCTGATAGGTGGGGATTGAGAACTGCGACTCTGGGAGAAGGCGCCAGAGCGCATCCACCATTCTTCTGACCTCTGCCCTCTCTCCTTTGCCTTGTCAGGATGACTTCTCGGGATCAGCTAGTGCAGCAGGTGCTGCGCGATCTGCAGGAGGCAGTAGAGTACAAGGACTTGGAAGGGCTCATCAGTGCTGCCCTGGAGGCCAAACAGGTCTTAACTTCCTTCACCCTACCCATCTGCCAGAAGGGTGGCCCTGGCGCCCAGGTGCTGGAAGTGGACTCGGTGGCCTTGAGTCTCTACCCAGAGGATGCTCCTCGGAACATGCTGCCCTTGGTGTGCAAGGGTGAGGGTAGCCTGTTGTTTGAAGGGGCCAGCATGTTGTTGTGGGGGCACACCGGTCTCAGCCTGGAGCTGCGGGCCCGCACTGTGGTGGAGATGCTGTTGCACAGGCACTATTATCTCCAGGGCATGATCGACTCCAAGGTGATGCTGCAGGCTGTGCGCTACTCCCTGTGCTGTGAGGAGTCCCCTGAGATGACCAACCTGTCTTTTGCCACCCTGGAGGCCATCTTTGATGCTGACGTCAAGGCTACGTGCTACCCTTCAGGCTTCTCCAATATGTGGCACTTGTACGCTCTTGCTTCCATCCTTGGGCGCAGTATCTACTCCATCTACCCCATGCACAATGTTAAGATCCGACCCTATTTTAACCGCGTTATCATGCCTCGCCGCTCCACCCACGTGACCTCCATGCTGCACATCATGTGGGCCGGTCAGCCCCTCACCAGCCACTTCTTCCATCACCAGTATTTTGCCCCTGTGGTTGGGCTGGAGGAGGTGGAGGCCGACAGTACTGCGAGCCTGGACTCTGTTCCTCCAAACCTGGGTCCTCTGCTACCACCAGCCAAAACCCTAGAGCTGCTCAACCGTGAACCCAGCCTCAGCTACTCCCGCCTGTGTGATCACACCAGCATCACCAAGAGCACCTTCTACCGCTGGCGGCGGCAGACCCAAGAGCACCGGCAGAAGGTAGCCACCCGCTTCTCTGCCAAGCACTTCCTGCAGGACAGCTTCCACCGCGGGGGCTTTGTGCCATTGCAACAGTTCCTGCAGAGATTTCCTGAGATCTCTCGTTCTACCTACTATGCCTGGAAGCATGAGCTGCTTGGTACTGGTGCCAACTCAGTCCAGGTCCCAGCCACTCCATCCCGGGAGGCACTGGCTGCGCCAGAGGTGGAGAAGCCTTCAGGGGAAAAGGCTGCTGAGGAGGTGGGGTGTTCCCCACTGGCAGCGGCAATGTCAAGCCCCACTAGCATGATCTTAATGCAGCGTGCCAAGTCTTACTTGGAGCACTGCATCTCCCTGAACAAACTGGTACCCTATCGCTGCTTCAAATGCAGGTTCCCTGGTATCTCGAGATCCACCTACTACAACTGGAGGCGGAAAGCCCTCAGGAGGACCTCCAGTTTCAAGACTTCCCCAGCTCCTGAAACTGCGGAGTCTCTCCAGTCAACACATGTTGGGAAAGAGATGCTGCTCTCTTTCAAGAGTGAGGTGGGAGAGGAGGGGACAAGGAAAGCAGAAAGTAGAGCTCCTCTTACTTCCCAGGGGCTCAAATCCCCAAGGATGCCCTTTTCTCGTTGGCAGAGACGACTGCGCAGGGCTGCCCGCAAGCAGGTGCTAAGTGGGCACCTACCCTTCTGTCACTTCCGCCTCCGATACCCTAGCCTGTTACCTTCCACTTTTTGGGTGTGGAAAAGTCTTTCCGGAAGATGGCCCCGGATGCAGGTTCCCTCTAAGGGCCAAAGGAAGCGGAAGCCAGAGGAACGGTGGAAGCCGGAGGAGCTGGAACCGCAGAAGCCGGAGGAGCCGGAGGAACCACGGAAGCCAGAAGAACGGTGGAAGCTGGAGGAGCCGAAGGAACGGCGGAAGCCAGTTGAATGGCAGGCTATGGAAGCTGTTCAGAATGTAACGTCTGTGGTGGTTCCTCCAGTGGAAACACTGCCAGTGGCTGCTTCTCTAGAAAACACCCCAGAAGATGCCCCAGGAGGGCCTTCCAGAGAGGGGATCATTCAAGAGGTAGCCATGGCCCAGGGCCAACCCCATAGTGGACCCTTGCCAAGCCAGTCTATGGCGACGGCACCAGGTGGCAGCGGTGGGCAGATGCTGGTGATGGACATGCTTACCACCGCTAGGTTCAAGGCCCAGGCCAAGCTGTTCCTGCAGAAGCGCTTCCAGTCTAAGACTTTCCCGTCCTACAAGGAGTTCCAAGCTCTCTTCCCACTCACCGCCCGCTCCACCTACTACATGTGGAAGCGGGCACTCTATGAAGGTCTCACGCTGGTTGATGGCTGATGGGAGGGGATATAGAGCATGGGAAGGAGGGGAGCTGAGTTGCCTCCTGACTCGGGCTAGGATGTCCTTTGCTCTGTGTTCTATAATTTCTTGATGGAGAGGTGGAAATCAGCCACCTGCTCTGACAAAACCTAGAGGAGGGCAAGTTGTCTCTATGGTTGTTGGCTGGTCACATATTTTTGTTGTATTTAGGTTTTCTTTTTTTTTTTTTTCATTAATTTGGGTTGGCAAGACCCCTCCACCTCTTGTCAGTGTTAAAGCTCTGTTGTGTTTGTACCAGGGCTGCTCTCAGCTTTTCCTGGGCCCACAAGGAAAGCATCACAGCATGGCCAGTATCTCCTGTCAGACAGAATAAATATATATGCTTTTTCTTTTCTTCTTAAGGGTTATATCCTTTTTTTCCCCCCTCAAAGATGTCTTCCAAAGGAACATGAGGATTGAGTCTGAGGCATCTGTGTGGGTTCTGCCTCAGCTCCTCAGTGGAGAAGGACTGAGCTTCACAGAACAAACCATGGTAGCCCCTAAGCCAGGGAAAGCTGCCAGACACTGGAGACCCCGAAGTGGGCATCCTGCACCCTCTGCTGGGGGTGGGAGTGGGGTCTCTTCAGGTCAGGTATCTTCTAGCCTGGCTGCTGTTGGGGACCTGCCTTTCTGCTGACCGTCCTCAAATGCCAGGCACATCTTGGGCAAGGAGCTATAAGGTTACAAGCCTGGTGGGGAACTGAATTTTCATTGTCCAGCAGCACAGTTGGAAAACCAAAGAAAATAAAGTGATGTGTTGCCCACACACAGCCTGTGGCCTCTGGCATTTGTTTGGCTAAGATAGTACTGTGTTCTAGGGCTCCCTTCAGTCTAAGGGGCTTGGGAGACCATTTCTGTCTTCTGATAGTACATGCTTGGGACCAGGGCTTACTTGGTGGGACTCTACTATGAACTTATGGGTCTGGCTGCATAAGACCCTGAGGGCTAGGCCCAGGTGCAGATAGAGCTGTTGTCTATTGAAATGAAGCACCAATGGGGGAGAGATGCTCTTAGACATTCTCCTGTCTTGGTTTCCTGTGGCTGACATTTTTATGGTCCTGGGTTCTGCCTTTCTCTTATCCCACTCCTGTTCCATCACCAAGTACAATTGACTCTGAGGTGCTGGTGTCATGGAATCCAGGGCCCTGTGTATACTGGTCAGATGATCCATCACCAAGTAACATTCCCAGCCCCCTTTTGCTTTCATTTCAAATTGTATTTGGCTCCTCCCTCCTTTCCGCTCCCCCACGTCACAGCTCCCCCTTTCCTCTCCCATTTGGTCCCATCTTCAGAGGGATTTTGATGAAATTGGATCCTGTCACTTTCCTGCTTAAGATGTGTCTGCAGCTGCCTTTTAATTATAGAATTCTTTCCTTGAGAAGGGCCGTGTGGCCAGGCATGGGAGTAAAAGGCAGGTGGATCTCTTGAGTTTGAGACCAGCATGGTTTACAGAGTAAGTTCCAGGATAACTGAGGCTGTCCAGAGAAACCCTGTCTTGTAAAACATCAAAACAAAGGGGCATGTGAGTGGTCCCCAACCCACTTTTCCCTCTCCTTACTGTGCTTGCCCTCACCCATGCCCTTGCCCACAGTTCCTCAGCCACACTGGCCACCTCTGACCCTAACCGTCCACACTCCTTTCTGCTCTGGGATTACACATACTTGCTGCTTTGGTCTAAGACACTGTTCTCCCTCTTAGTTCTCTCCTCTCATTTTCTCTTCACCCCTTTTTTTTCTCCTTCCTTTTAAAATTAATTTTAGACAGGGTCTTACTATGCAGCTCTGGCTGGCCTGGAACTGTGTAGACCAGGTTGACATTGAACGAGTAGAGATCTGCCTACTTCTGTCTTGGGGGTGCTGGATTATACATCATTGTAGGGATTTAGTCTAGGCTCCGCCCCACAGTTACCTGTCAACAGCCAGGTATGCCTGACTCCCCATAAAAAGGGGCTGCTTGCCCCCTCCTTTCTCTTGCTCCTGCTCTGTCCTCTCTTTCCTTCCCCCCTCTCTCCACTCCCCTCTCCCCCTCCACATGCTTATGGCCAGCCTCTCCTCTCCTCTCTCTGTGCCTTTCTCTGTCTCTACTACCCTCTCAAATCCCTTCCCCATGCCCAGAATAAACTCAACTCTACTCTATACTATACTGTCCTGTGGCTGGTCCCTCAGGGGCCTGCAGAGGCACCCCTCCCCCCACACCTGACTGCACATCCACCAAACATATTCTTTTACATTTTTATAAAACACAACAATCATGAAGCCTCTCTCTCTCTCTCTCTCTCTCTCTCTCTCTCTCTCTCTCTCTCTCTCTCTCTCTTTTTCTTTGAGACAGGGTTTCTCTGTGTAGCCCTGGCAGTCCTAGAACTTGCTCTGCAGACCAGGCTGGTCTCAAACTCGGATCCAACTGCCTCTGCCTCCAGAGTGCTGGGATTTAAGGTGCTCGCCACCACTGCTCTGCTACCCCTCTCCTTTTAAAGGCAGGTTTTAGGATGTGGCCCATGTTGGCCATCCACGAATCTGAACTCTTCATGCTTCAGCCTCCAGAGTGCTGGGATAACAGGTGTGTGCTCCTATAGCCAGTTCCAATGCTTGTCCCAGTTGTCTATACAGCAGACATTGTGTCTGAGTCCCTGTTACATTGTCCTTTTGAATTGTCTGGTAGGTTCTTGTTTCTATTTGTTGCTTTGGTTGCATGAAGACTATGAAAAACATTTTTTTCCTTTTGCTTTGAGCACTGAATCCCATAGATTAATTTTAAGCACACAGTAGGTGCTGATATTGAAAAGAGAATGGGCTGGTGCTTTTATCCTTTCTTAGTGTTAAACCTGTGAGATCATGTTTTGCAAACCTAATCCGTGGTGGTCTGAAGGATTTCTCATAGACCAGTTTCCCTCTGTCTTTACACCCATTTTGTAATCTGTGCCAACAGGAGCTTGTCAGCTCGTTTTCGATAATTTTTTTTTATGTATGTAAGTACACTGTAGCTGTCTCCAGACACACCAAAAGAGGGCATCAGATCCCATTACAGATGGTTGTGAGCCACCATGTGGTTGCTGGGAATTGAACTCGGGACCTCTGGAAGAACAGAGGGTGCTCTTAACCACTGAGCCATCTCTCCAGCCCAATAATTATTTTTCAAATCGACTCTGCCTCTATCTATTGCTGCTGCTTCTTTTTGTTTTGTTTTGTTTGTTTTTCGAGACAGGGTTTCTCTGTGTAGCCCTGGCTGTCCTGGAACTCACTCTGTAGACCAGGCTGGCCTGGAACTCAGAAATCCGCCTGTCTCTGCCTCCCAAGTGCTGGGATTAAAGGCATGTGCCACTACCGCCCGGCTCTATTGCTGCTTCTTGACAAGGTGATCTTCCCTGAATCCTATTCACTGCTGCCTTTCCCATTGCTCTCAGCGCAATTGCTCTCACCTAATGCTTGTCGGATTTTATGTCCTGGATTGACCTCTGGGGACTCCACTAGTAAGGATTTGATGAAGGAATTTGACCAGGGGATTTCACTCTAACTTGCAGTGGCAACTTCTGGCCAGCAGGTGGCAATCCAGTGCAATGAGATACACTAGCATTGGGTGGGAGCTAGGTTCCAATTCCTTTCCATTTGGGCCATGGGGTAGCAGTCCCAGGGTCCCTCCTGAGAACTCCATGACAGAAAGTACATTTTCTTACTTACACTCAGCACCAGAACAGGCCCTCTGAGGCTGGGAAGCAGAATCTCCTAGTGCGACCTACAAACCATCCTAGGGGTTTGGGTGCAACTCAATGGATAAACATTGTCCAATATGGGTAATGCCCTGGGTTCAGTTTTTGGTACTTCAAAACCAAAACCTATCTATGGGTTACTGCCTAGGGGGGAGGGCTTGTCAGGAATGTGGATTCCAGTGTCCCATCCAGATTTACCAATCCCCACCTTAGACATTCATACGTCTCCTTTTTCCCGTTTGAAGGCAAGATCACAGCTGTACCCATAGTGGTATGGTGTGCACCCATGTTCCCATAATAACAGGTGAGTGACTGTTACGGAGGCTGCCTGGAGCCCACAGGGACTGATTACTGCTTGAGGAATGGAGGGTGGGCTGATGCCTGAGAAGATGCTTGGTCAGGATCACTCTCCAGTAAAGCACGATCTGGTCCTGAGTCAGGAAGATAATGTCATCCAGGAGCACTGTGAAGCCCTAAACCTGCAGCAGAAATCTGAGCTTCTGTTCAATGATACTGTTGTGTCAGTATCATTGAAAAATGATTGTACATGGGTGGGTGGGGGTGTCCAGTTTTGTTAATGTTTAGAAGAGCTGTTTCCTAAAAAGGCAAAGGAACCTAAGTTGTATTCATATCTGTCAATAGTGCTTTGTGCTGAGATCTCACTGTGTAGCCCTGGCTGTCCTGGAACTTACTCTGTAGACCAGGCTGGCCTTGAACTCACAGAGATCCACCTGCCTCTGCCTCCCCAGTGCTGGGATTAAAGGTGAGTGCCACCACACCCAGCTTCATGCTGGTTTTGAGGTTGACATTTTGTTGAAATTATTTGTGTGTGTGTGTTTAAGAATATGTTACCGGGCGGTGGTGGTGCACACCTTCAATCCCAGCACTTGGGAGGCAGAGGCAGGCAGATTTCTGAGTTCGAGGCCAGCCAGGTCTACACAGTGAGTTCTAGGACAGCCAGGGCTACACAGAGAAACCCTGTCTTGAAAAAACCACTCCCCCCCAAAAAAAAGAGAATTATTTATATATATGAGTACACTATAGCTATCTTCAGACACACCAGAAGAGGGCATCAGACCCAATTACAGATGGTTGTGAGCCACCATGTGGTTGCTGGGAATTGAACTCAGGACTTCAGGAAGAGCAGTCAGTGCTCTTAACCACTGAGCCATCTCCAGTCCTATTTGTGTTCTTTTGGTGTCATTTTCTACCCTGGATATCTATGGAAAAGTCCAGTGCAGCGAGGGGTTAATCGGGGAGGAAAGCAATATGTACATTTAAGTTTATCTCTGGTCACATTCTGTGTGGCTCTAAGGGAAGGTTTTATTTAAATTTATTATTTTATGTGTTTGGGCATTTTGTCTGCATGTGTGTTTGTGTACCACATGTGTGCCTAGTCCCTGCAGAGGCCAGAAGAGGGTGTCATATCCTCTTGGACTGGCATTATAGACAGTTGTGAACTATCAACGTAGGTGTTGGGAAGTGAAGCCCCATCCTGTGGCAAAGCCGCCAGTGCTTGTTTGGTTGGTTTCAGGACAGGGTTTCTCTGTTTAGTCCTTGCTGTGCTGGAACTTGCTCTGTACACTGCCTGACCTCAGAGATCTGCCCGCCTCTGTCTCCCACGTGCTGAGATTAAGGGTGTCCACCACCATTGCCTGGCTTAGCAGTGCTTGTATCTGTCGAGCCATCTATCCCTCCAGCCACCCAGAGAGAATATTTTAAATATAAAAGTTCTGCTCTAGGGCTGGAGAGATGGCTCAGAGGTTAAGAGCACTGACTGCTCTTCCAAAGGTCCTGAGTTCAATTCCCAGCAACCACATGGTGGCTCACAACCATCTATAATGGGTTCCGATGCCCTCTTCTGGTGTATCTGAAGACAGTAACAGTACATTCACATATATAAAATAAATAAATCTTAAAAAAAATAGATAAAAAAAAAAAAGTTCTGCTCTAGGAGGCTGGATGTGGTGATGTCTGTCACTAACCCCGGCACTCCAGAGGCACAGGCAAGTGGATCTGAGTTTGAGGCCAGCCTTCAGACTGATTTCTGAGTTGTAGGCTGGTCAG